TTCCAGGAGGCTTGGGGAGCTGAGGTCTTTGAGTCCACTTTGGGGAGGCAGGGCCTTTGCTCAGTAAGACAGATTGAGCCTCAGGCGTGTCATCCGGAGGAGGAGAGGCTGCATGCATCTGTCCATAGTCAGCTAAGACAGTCTTGGCCCGTGTTCTCTCTCCATTTAAAGCATGCATGTTTTTATACTGATCTAGGACATAATACGAGGGTTGCTATTTGGCTATATGTCTATACTTCATCTTATTTATATAAGTAAACATTTTTTAAAGTGTATCTATTACAAATTTCGGAATGAAAGGAAAGGAGGAGTAAAGCATCTAGTTAAGTTACAGATTTTAGTTGGAGCCCTGATTCTGCCACTCTGGTAACAACTCTGCCTGCTCTGTGACCATCCAGTTTCCTCACGTGTGAAATGGGAAGAATAACACTATCTTTTTGTGAAGTGTTCTGAGTCAACACAGAAAATACTTAATTTCTGATAATTAAGTACTTAATTTTTCTGATACACAGTAACAATTATATAAGATTTAGAAACCAGTATTATTTATCATTTCATTATACGTGCTTAACTAAATAGTCTAGAGCCAAGTTTTGCTTTTATTACTAGTAGTAAGCATGTTTAGATGCTTACACTGTTATTTCAGCTGATTTTTTTTAAAGATTTATTTATTCATACAGAACGGGGGTACAGGCCAGAGATGCGGAGGGTGAGAGGATTCACCAGAGACAGAGTGGGAAGCAGAACAGGCAGATCGACAAAGTACACTGCTGAGGGGAGCAGCGGGCGGGTCAGAAGAGGTCTGCACGCCATGTGGTCACCTCTGGGGCTGGCGGGAATCGAACTCATGTGGAAGTGGCTTTAGCTTCTTAGTGCTGTGCTTTAACCCACTGCGCCACCATGGAGGGCCTCAGCTGATGTTTTAATAGACTCATCTAGGGTTTTATTAACAAGGACTCTCTCTTGACTGGCATTTATGTATACAAAACAAAAAATGATACTTATGATGATAATTCCATTATGGGAGGTAGTGAATTAGATTCTAAATTATCAAAGTTGGAGTTGTGTATATCTATCATAAAGAAACTATAAACTGAATTTTGGAAATCCTTTAATAGCAATGTGCAGAAGTTCTTTAATAAGTTTGCATTCTACAGTGCTAAGGATAAGTACTATAAAGACCATTCTACAGAGAAGGACATTAAAACAGCTTGGGAATCAACAATATGCTATGCGCTGAGTAGCATACTGGGAGTCCAGCAGTATTGGTTAATTAGGCCAACTCTGGTGATTTGGGCAAAAATACAGAGACCTTGATGTTATGTAACTGATGCCTGATGTTGCCCAGAGTAGCACCACCTTATCCCAATCTGACTTAATTAGGATCATTTCAAGCTTGATTGTAACCCCAAACCCCTCCAGTATATTTGTTATACTTGATAAATCAGAGGGTTCTCACTAGCAGTCTTTGTTCTCCATCTGTTCTCCAGCATTATTACTTGTGTTATAACATGTGACTGTCTCCAACATCCATAGTCCTTGGGAAGGGGATGTAAGGAAAGTGATTTCTCTCCCCCTTGTGGGGTCTTTTTGGGATTGGGGGAGACACAGATAGGGGTTAAGTGAAAGCATGGCTATGACAGTAGATTAGTAAAGACAAGTAACTGAGAGATTAAGTTATGGAAGTAAAAAAGGAAGGATGGAAGAAAAATTAAATTTATGAAAGCAAAAAAAAAGGGGGGAACATTTGAACCTTCAGAAACTATAAGTTCTAAATGATGTTTTCATATTTGCCTATGCATTACTCAGTAAGTATTAAGCAATGTGGTATTGACAGTTTACATACATAGTCCTCAGACTTGTAAAGAAATTCTATTTATGTTACTAAGATTTGGAGGTGCGGAGGGGTTGCCAGAGGTCATGGAAATAATATCTAGGATTTAGTGATGTAAACAAAGCTCTGTTCAATACAGACCCCTTGTTCTATGGCATGTAGGGTCAGTTAAACAGATGATTGAAGAAATTGAAGAGAAACTGTCCAAACCATCCTAAAATAGCAACTATTCACAGAGACCGAAATCATAAAGAGTAAGTCATGTAGTATAGAAAGAACCTTTTTTTTTTAGAATAAAATTTTAAAAGGAGCAAAATTTTATATGCTTCAATTTCACTACAGTGTTAGAATTTTATTGCAATATTAGTCACAATCATGTTTAAAATATCAGTAAGAATTAAATGGACTAAACATGATTGCAAGACTTTACACAAGGGTCAAAATGGACAGATAAAGAAAGGAGATGAGGGGAATCCAAGGTGCATGTCTGTCAGAGAGAGAGAGAGAGAGGGAGAGTGGTGGAAACAGTGAGGAGGAAGGGTTTTGTGTGGTTGTGTGGTAACATTCATTCTAAGCTAAGAACGTTTCCATGGCTAGAGGATGAACAGTTATTTGTAGCAGAACAACTTTCTATCCACCCGCATACCCCACCCAGTGTGGTTCTGAATAGGACTTTTTGTCCATCTCTCATCTATTTTCCACAAGTCAGCTTGAATAATTTTTCTTAAACATAAGTTCAGTGATTTAACTTTTCTGCTTAAAATCCTTCAGTGGGTGCCATCTGCACCTAGAATAAAACCCATACTCCTGGGCTTCCCCTGGTGGCTTAGTGGGTTAGGACACAGCACTGCAAACTGGCCACAACCTCAGTACAAGTTTGATCCCCGCCCTGGAAGTGACCACATGGTGCGGCAGACCTCTCCTGACCCGCCCACTGCTCCCCTCAGCAGAGTACTTTGTTGATTTGCCTGTTCTGCTTCCCATTCTGTCTCTGGTGAATCCTCCCACTGCCCTTTGACCTCTGGCCTGTACTCCAGTTCTGTATGCATAAATAAATCTTAAAAAACAAACAAACCCAAACTCCTACTTTAACCTACTGAGTCCTACATAATCTCCCCCAGTATACTTTTCCAGCTTCTCACTTTATACCTACACACTCTTGACTCTGGTCTTCACATTAAGTGTGACCTTTCCTGCCATAGGGCCTTAGTACACACCACTCCCTTTAAGCGATGACTCTTCCCAATACTATGTGTTTTCTCATCAAGAAGGCCTTCACTGACTCCCTAAGTGAGTTGCCCTTGTTGCCTATTTCACCCTTTTGTTCTCTTCAAAATGCTAATTTGCAGTTATAATTATATATATTGTTTGTTCATTTGTCTTTGTATCTTCTTCACTCACCTGTAAAATTCATGAGGGCATAATAACGAGGGACTACTTTCTTATTTTTTAATAAGTCCCTGATAACAATGTCCCCTGACATCATTCAGTGTGGCACATACCCTACCTCAGAGTGAATCTGAAAGGAAAGCAATCAGTGCTTGCTATGGTTTAAAGGTCTTTGGGTAGTCGGGTAGGCCAGCAGGCTTTGCAGCAATAGACAGGAGTATTGACAGGCATGGCCTCTTTCACCATGTAGACATAGATGCGAGTCTGAAGTAGACAGATGGCAAAGGGGAAGCCAGTGTGCTTGGGCTGGCTGTTGAAAACTGGGTTAAATTGAGGTAAATAGACTGAAAATTGAGGTATTGCTTTTCGTTTGTAAGATGTGTATGTGTGTGGAAGAGACTGTATGCTTATGGGTTTGTGTGTTGATGCGTGTGTGCACTCACACAAAGTTACACGTAGGATTCTAAGAGCCTCCCCTGGATAAATGGGAAGAAAGACAAACACAGTCATGCTGTCATGGATTGAGGGAGTCTGATCAGTTGGTCCTGGGAGGTCCAGAGTGTCCTTGGGCTCTTCTTCAGCAGCCTTCCCTCCAATACCCCCCAAGCTCCCTTCCCTCTACACACCCACCCTAACACATCTACCTTGGATAACTTCAGCAGTACCTACCAAAGGCTTGGATGTTTTGTGCTGTATCTGTTGACATAGATCCCAGAAGACTTTCTAATGCTGAGTGGCATTTGCTGGAAGTGGTAGTTTGACAGGGAAACTCACATCTCAGATAGGGCAGCATATCTAGCAAATGGTGTTTCTCCTGGAAAATGTATAATTCTTTAGCTGTGCTATTTGCAGTTTTGCTTGGAACTGTGGGAATAGTCTTATTTAGTCTGTCGTCTAATATGTTTGCTCTCATTTTATAAATTCCCTCATTTATCTCATTCCTCTAACCTTGTCAAATAAATGTACATAACCTTGTGAAAATGGTGTTTGTGTCATACAGATGAAGAAGACATGGGAGGACAGAGATGGGACCTTTTCACATCTTTCCACTGAGCCATGCAATGGCAGCAGTTTTCTGCTGAGGAAGGTAGCCTGAAATTCAGACACAAACAAGGAGTAGGTTGGGGGGTGGGGTGTCAGGGAGGCTGTGTGTTCTGTGTGTGTAGCTTGAGGAAACAGCATGAGTTGGGCAGTGGGCGAGAGGAAATCTACTCTTGCAGAACACACTCAAGCAGTCTTTGTGCCCACATCTCTACCACAGAGTGTCGCACTGGTTGTGAGCCTCATTTGGGCTTCTTTGTAAGAACACAAGACCCCTGGTTCTGTTCCTGAGGTCTAGGGTGTGGCCTAGCAACCTGAATATTTCCCAAACAGCCAAGTTGATTTTTCAGTTCAGGGAAGTAATAGACTTCACTGTCCCCAAAGGGAGCTGACCCTTGCAGGGGTAGGGAAAAGCTGCCTGGGGCCATAGGTTATTGATCCTGCTTCACAGAGGATGTGCAAAAAGATTGGTGTGAAAACTTCCCTGGAAGATATGATTGTGGACCCTCTTGCTGAAATCAATGAGAGAAGAACCACCTTTTCATTGGTCTACTTCTTTATTTATAAGCCAGGTTTGCAATCTTTCTGAACTTTTTGAACAACATAAATTCATCTCGAGTTGTACAATCTGCTATCCTGACAAGCTTGTAATAACAAATCTCTTCTTGCATCTTTGCATGTTACTCCTAATTATTCTCCTTTACCTGCAGAGCAAAAACCATGGGAGGGGGGTGGGTGGTGTGTTCCTACAAGATTTATTTTTAATCATTTTACCTTCAGAAGTCTCTTTATCTTTTCCAGAAGGAAAGAGCATAAAGTTATCCCTTAGGACATGCCATACATATACAGGATGTCCTGTTTTGTGGACATTTGTTCATTGATTTTTCAAAACCATTCTATCCATGTCCTTTTCCTCCCTCAGTAACCAGGCCTCACAAAACTGATTAAAGAGCAAAAGTAATAATATAGATGCCTCTGTAATCCTGAGTAGCTTCCACACAGCTTTTAATTGGGAGTGGGTGAAAATACACACACATAGTTTTATCATTGAGGGTGTGTGAATGTGTGTAGACACACGGTATATTATCAGAGGATGCTAACAGAAATCTAAAGTAGCAGTGTACTTCCAGCCCAGCTTTAATACTTCACACCCCTCCAATACACTGCCACACTTTCCTTGGCAGCAGAGGGATGTATAGCTCAGGAGCAGGATAGTTCAAAATGGCAGTAGAGGGAAGTTTTTCTTAATTACGCATTTCAGAGCAACAACTCTGTTCAGGTCTTATGATGTTAAGGGACATTTTTGATATATAAATAGTTCATTGTGTTCTGGATTTAAGAGACTTATGAATTGAACAAAGGAAGGCACCTGTTCCTCATTACCAGTCCTGATCTTGCCTGGCCTTCTTAAATGGCAGAGTCACAAGTACACCCTGAGAAAAATGGTAAATTCTTTATCCCCTCTGGTTACTGGGGGGTACTGCCTATACAATCAAACCAAAGGGTGTATTGAAACTGCACTACTTTAGTTTCGTAAAGGTTTGGAACAAGAATGACCTGGTTGCCGTGGGAAGACGGACATGCGAGTACAGTGGGCTTAGAGGCTGAATAAATTCAGTGTTTATGCGGTGGGCTATTTATTTTGAAAATGAATTGAAAAGTATACTCTTAAGGGGCTGTAGTTGGTCTGCTTTTTTTTTTTTTTTTTAAGGGTAGCTTGATTTTCTCCACATTCCATGTCTGTACTCACATATATGCCTCATTTTAGATGTGTGTGGCTTCACCACTGTGTAGCAACTCTCAGGATCCCTAAGCTCCTAGCAGCTTAACACCTTCACTTTCTACAACTTTTAATATAAACCTCTGTCCTGGAATTCTAATGCAGACTATTTCCTTAACATACAGTAACCAATTATAAATATATGTAACATTCATGGAGTATATAACAACATGTATATTAGTAATTTAGTGTCTAAGTTTGCAACTTAAATGAATAAACAAACATAGGACATCTCAGAGCCTTAATAGAATCTTGCAATGCAGGAAACCGACTAAAGGAACACATTTACAGGACTACTAGGAGTTAATTACTGTACAGAACACAACAAAATGAATATTTTCCATATGCTTAATTCTCACTGAGAATTCTTGGTGTCTCTTCTGATGTTGTATAAGTAATAGGAACAGATTATCACAAAGATTCCCACTAGTGTTGGGTGTTCTGACTATAATAGAAATAATAATTAAAAATAATCCAAGAATCAGAAATACATTACAAGCTGCATGACAACAAATATTTGACCTGCTATTAAAAAATAAACTCTTCCAAAACTTTTCCAAATCTCATTTAATTTATGCATATCTGTGATGTTTCCTTTGTTAAAGTGAAATAAAATAAAAAACAATTTAACATATTTTTGACTCCAGTTTTAGAAATATTATACATTAAATCTAGAGGGACTTTTTAAAATTGGGTATTTCCACTTTCTTTCAAATATGGAAAATGTCTCCTGAACAGTTTAGATTTCATCTTGTCAGCCTGCTGGCTCAGTTGGCCTCACGGCCTTAGAAACAAAAGCAGACAGGTTCTTGGCCCACTGTGAGGCTTCACCAGGTAAGCTGCCTCAGGTGTCCAGCAGAGTGGGAGGAAGTGAACCACCTTGAAGAAACCAGCTCCAGGCTCGTTTCGTGACCTGTGTGAAACTTTGCATCTTAACATTTACATGCATTTCTGCCTACTCAGCTTCTCTACTCTCAAATGAACAGAAAAAGAAATCAGAAGTGAAGGAGGAGGACCAGATCTGATTGGTTGAAAAAAAAACCCAAAAGTGTCACTTCTTTCATGAGATAACAGCTCAGATGTGATACTTCCCTGGCGGGAAAACTGAAGCTGTTGCAGCATTCAAGAAATCTTCCATTTTCTTCACGATGAAAGGTTTGAAAAAGTGGACCTCTGAGAAGAAATACTACAGACTTCCAAATTGGTGAAGGAACTCCCAGCGTCGCTTGGATACTCTGGGTAGGAGGAACTGGAGGAGATGATATTTTTAAGCCTCTGGAGGGCAATGATTAAAAGCAGAAGCAGAAATGCTAAAAGGCTGAGGAATATGGACACATAGATGTAGACATTTGACAGGTGACCCGAGGACGGATCTACCGATGTGGACAGGGATGTGGGAAATAGCTCAAGGAAAGTTCCATTCTCCACATTTCCCGAAAATACAGATGAAGAGTCAAGTTCAGACATCTTTATGGAGGCTCAGTGAACATACAAGTATGTTAAAAGTCAGAGTTTCACACAGAGGTTAAAAAGAACAGAATCAGCATTTTCTTTTCATGGCAGTGTCAGCAAATTTCAGGCAAGTTAATCTGCACAACAAAGCCTCTTGGTTTTCAATCACAAGCAGCAGGAGATCAGGTGTCCACTGACACTGCAAAACAAAAACAAAGCAAGAAAAGCAAAACAACTGAGCACATAATTCAGAAAACAACACATTTAGATCTCATTTCGAGTTTTTTTGTTTTCTTCAGGAAGACTTTAATTATAAAACTCACCAGGGAGGGCAAGATGTTCCCCAGGAACAAGTGCTGTTTATGTCGTTACAATACAAATGATGATACAGAAGTGAACTTTTATTTCATCTCCACAGCACCCTCGCTGCCAGGTTTCTCCAAGGAACTAGAGATGAAATAAAAAGGAAAATACATTTCTGATGTGCTCCATCTGCTCTTCTTTCAACAGATGCTCCAAGTGGAGCGCTTTGAGAAAAAGACCCAGAAGTTAACTCCAAACCTTCTTTCTCCAGAAAATTAATTGCATGAGATCTCCCGCCTGTTAGCACATTTCTGACCAGTATCTCCCTCTAATACACTTTGGAGACTCGCTGCTTTTTCATGAGCATTCATAATTTCCTGATTTTTTTTTTTAAATAAAATGAGCCCTTTCAGTTCAGAGACTATTTTTTAAATATATATTTTATTTCTTTTATATATCCAGGTTTATTTTTAAGGCCTTGAATAAAAATCTTTAGATTAATTTAGGAGAACAAAGATGAAATTCCTACTGAATGGTAGAATCTCCCTGGCCCACTGTGAGGCTACCCCAGGTAAGCTGCCTCAGGTGTCCAGCAGAGTAGGAGGAAGTGAGCCACCTTGAAGAAGTCAGCTCCAGGCTTGTTATGTGGCTTGTGTGAAACTTTGCACCTTAACATTTACATGCATTTCTGCCTGTTCAGCTTCTCTAGTCTCAAACGAACAGAGAAAGAAATCAGAAGTGATTTCTTTTCTCCCCGTAGGTTTGCTACTGGGAGACTACAGTGAGGCCTGCATTTCTCTTTGTTTTTGGGAGGATGGACAGACTGCCTACCTTTTCTGAATGTCACAGTTCTCATTGGTGAAACTGTATGGCACTGTATGTGCCTCCTCAGGGTTTTAGATAACAGAGGTGGACGATGGGTGTCTTGGTGGGATGGGTGCCACATTGGTAACAACTCTTTTTTTTTTTTAAAGATTTATTTTATTTATACATACAGAACTGGGGTACAGGCCAGAGGCTCAGGGGCAGTGAGAGGCTTCACCAGAAACAGAGTGGGGAGCAGAACAGGCAGATCTACGAAGTACACTGCTGAGGGGAGCAGCGGGCAGGTCAGGAGAGGTCTGCCACGCCATGGGGCAGGCAGGAATCCAACTCATGCGGAAGTGACTTTAGCTTCTCAGTGCTGTGCTTTAACCTGCTGCGCCACCAGGGAGGGCCATGGTAACAACTCTTGAGGAGGTACATTCTATGCTTCTAATATTCAAACAGTACTGTAAACCAATATTATAAAACTATAAAGTATATGAAAAAAAGGTAGCAGATGTGGAAGCACTTTGTACATTATAAAGATCTGGGCCAAAATGAGTTTAGTGTGTGTATGTGTTAGTGAATGGGAAGAAGAAATTATTTCCTTTCAATCAGGAACAACGAAAGACTCCTCACCATGATCTTCCTAATGTGGCCCTGGGAGGAAGAGAAGAAGCAAAGTGGACTGTGAAAGGCAGGATATAGCTGGGGCAGAGTCTGATTCTTGAGGTTCCAGATGTGGGTGCAATATGTCTTGGGCACCTCTCTGCCTCTTGTGAAATCACAGCTCGTTTCTGCCTGGGTCTTCAGCTCACACAGTCCATGTAGCAGAGTGAGGGAAAGAGCCTCAGGGAGTGGGGGTCCCTTTGGGTAGATGACTCTTCAAGTTCAGAAGAGCTGCTCTTCCTAGCTTTTGATGACATTGTAGCATTTTGCTTTAAATTTCTGACCTTGAATCAGACTGTGTGAAATCTGCTGCTTTATCCTGGCTCTTCTATTTCCTAAACTCTGCTGAATTTTACCTTCTCCAATCCAATTAAACAACTGATTCTTTGAGAACTGACATCGGCTGTTAGGCAAGAGGTGAGCAGCACTAATGACCCCTGAGAAGGAGGGACACCTTCAGCAAGGGCTATCTCTGTTGGGAGACGCACAGACTAATGATCTTGGTGTGTCCTCTGAGTAGGCCACCAACAGTGTCTTAGCAGTTCCTAAAATAATTTGACTCCTACTTCTCATTATGCTTTGCCTGGTGATTTTATTCCATTAGGGTGCTTCTGGCTCCTAACGATCTTTAAAAAGAAGAGAGAGAGAATCACAGTGGGACTGTAAATGTGTTACACTGATTTGGCAATACCTTGCTTTTTTACAACACAGTAAATGTTTTAGCTGTTCATCTTTAGGGAAAATAACAGTCTCAGATGTATAAGAAAGAAAATTAGGAGAGAAATGTCATGGACTAGATCAGAAAAAAATATTCAGGTTGTACTGGTAAGACTTCCCAAGTCTGTCTAGCTGAGGACAATGAGAAGCAAAGATGATAACTGACTTTCCAATGAAACCTCTGATTAGAAGATAAGCCAAAAATGGACTAGTTTTCTTAAACTACCTTTACTACCCAGATCTGTATCATTTTTCTGGGCGTGAGCTGGAGGCGCTGTGTCACTGGAATATCAGCAGTTCAGTGGCAGAACTCGCAACTGTCACAAGACTACTTATTAAAACAAAGCTTCTCACCTGCCTTCCTCACCCTTTGTACCATGTGGTTTCAATCTTCCTGTCATTTTCATAGTAAGGACTTTATATCCACTTTTTTTAAGCATTGGTGAGGAAAGTAGGGGATCTGCATTTTGTGTTTATTGTAGGGGCAGGTAGAGAAGGAATTATTATTCCTACTTTGTAGAGTACAAGATATAATTACAACACAGCTAGACCATGACCGAGAAGTAACTAGAATCCAAGTTTGAATGGTGTCCTTGATTTTCTCAACTGTGGTAGGAAAGGGAAAATCGTGAGACTTGGATAATTGGTTCTTGTCTGCCACTTACTTTGGGAAAGCTCACAATTTAGTTTTCCATCTGTATGACACTCACCTTTCCTACTTTTCCAAGAGGTGCTGAATTAAAATGTGATAATGTTTCCATAGTCGTCCTTAGGCAATTATAAAAGACCATGCCAAGTAAAGTACAAGTGGACAGTTCTTGGCAAATGCCTGGAAAGACCAGAGGAAAATTTAAGTCTCTGCTAGTCCCAAAGTTTTGGCAGGTGCAGGTCTTAGAATCAGTTGGAATTGACTGACTTTTCTAACGCTATTTTCGGTACCGCCCACAACTGGTTATCAGACTTTAAGAACACAGTATAAAAATTCTGAATACTCTTCCCTCCCATGGATTACTTTCTTTCAGTCAAAGAGCTTATTGTGAATTTCAGCTATCTTCCTGATACAGATTTTTTATTCCAAGAGACAAAGGGAATACTGGCTGACCATGAACTAACATATTTCCACAGAGCTTCATTACAATGTTGTGATTCAGCTGTCTCATTTTCCTTTTCCACAACTCACTTTCTGAAGATAGTTCGGGGGGGAAAAAATCACAATTCCATCTAATCTTCCAAGTGCCCTTAAATAAACAGTAGAAATGAGCAAAGGAAACCTTGTGTCTTATTGACATTCCTAATTAAACACTCCATCTGTAATATTTTACTTTTAACATCATCAATAGACTACTTCTTAATCAAAAATGATAGACAAATTGCATTACTGTTCTGCTCTAAATGAGGGTATACCCTGAGAGAGATGATTTTTATTTTATGGCATTTGCATATTCTTGAAAATTAAGAATTGGATACATCGTCTTTCTCATGAATGTGTGTGTGTGATGCTTAGGCAGAACTAAATAGTTCATGTTCAGGCATTGTGACAGGATGGACAAGGCCGAAGGTGGCACTGTGGAACTGAAATCAGATGAGTACGTTTCAAGATGATGTTACTTGGGTTTTTTTTTCCCAAAACCGATTACATTTAAAGAAAATAGGAAAGAGACTTCATCTTAAATGCATAACCTTGACCTAACTTGGGGCAGTGCCATCAGATTCTCATTTCAGGTGACACCTAAAGCCTCTTGGGGTTGTGATCCTTTTTTTTTTTTTTTTTTTTTTCTGATTCATCTTCAGAAAGTGAGTTGTGGGAAAGGAAAATGAGACAGCTGGATCACAACACTATAAATGAAGCTCTGTGGAAATGTGTTAGTTCATGGTCAGCCAGCATTCCCTTTTCTCTTGGAATAAACACCTGTGCAGAGAAGAAATCTACAAAAGGCAATCACCTGCTGAACTGAGAAAGGACAGTTGGGGGGGGCACTGATAGGACAGATCTGGGGGTGTCGCTGGTTTTATTTCATTCAGCACCATGCCACCTTGACTCCTCTGAAAGACTAGGAACTTTGCTTTCTACAGGATAATTATGAGAATTGTAAAGTTTGGGAAGAACAAGGGAGTATACTCTTTAGGGTATATCTTCATGCTTGGTAAAGTAGAAGAGATGATGACTGGGCCACATCTCTGAGTCTTCTAACCAGCATGTGGGCAGAGACTATACCTTACAAGACCGTGGTGAATGGACTCAGCCTACAGTCAGCCTGAGATCTTGGCATAGCAATTTCTGAGTCTTATTGAAAGGTATTTCTATGTGAATAACTACTACTTGAAAGTTTTGTTTTGTTTTAGTTTTGGTTATGGAAAACCAGGCCAAAACTGCTGTGTTCCTTTGTAGACATATTTAACAGTACCCTAGCTGTTAAGATATCCAGTTAACATTTTGTCATTACCAGATCTCGTTGTGTCATTCTTCAAAAGGATTCTCCCCAAACCATTAGTAATGATTTGATAAAATAGTGATAAGATATGGTAAATGTTTTCTCTGGTCTACAAATATAAAATTTGGTATTTCATTGTAATAAATGAATATATTAGATCTCTTGTTCTATAGAACACATAGAAACTACCTTTTCCAGGAGTCAGAAAAGACCTCACTACCTTTGAAGAAAGCTATTTTTAGTTCTTTCCAGAAAACAGTATGTTTCATAAAAGGCCTTAGCCACTTCTTGGTAATCTGCATAATATCTTCTTTCTTAATGCTTTCTCTATACTTATCATGGCCTTTGAGGTCATGTTTGATGAAAGTTGGTACTGACAATACTTTCCATCCACTCTTCTCTAAATGTAAATCTTCACTTGCAGTCAATGACAAAACTACCCATAGTCTTGCAAGAATTAAAATAACATTTGATGTCTTCAGTTCTGTCCTTACTCAGAGCTGATTCAGCCATCAGTGTAGT